TCATTTTCAATTAACTGTAAACAGGCTGTGTTTCTCTGAAACCCTGAGAGGCAACCGATTTCTAACATTTCTCAATTACTCTTTTTAGCCAGCGTTCAGCTTTCTTTTCCATGGGGCCAACATTCTCTTTTAAAATGAAGTTGTCCAAATCCCAAGCCACTTATTATGTTCAGTAGTGTTTTCCTTTTTCTTGTATAGAAATTCCTCTAAAAGAAACTTTAAAAAAGAGAGAGAGCTACTGCCATATTTTGTTAAATGTCTTGCAAGATTAAATTCAGCTTAAAACTATTTAACTTAGAAAGTAAATGGTCCAAAATTGTTGGCTTAATTGTTGTCTTTAAATTACCACCCAGTTAGGGTAGACAGAATCCAACCTTTGTACAAGCTGGGGAGCTTACTATTACATTTTTAGGTCCAGAGGTTAAAATTCATTTGCTAGTACTAAATAAAATTTTGAATGGATATTTGCAGCTAGGAAATTCATTTCTTCAAATGCTAGAAAACATAATTGCTTTATTAGATACTGAACAATAAAGAGGAAACTTGAGATTTTTTTTAACCTTTTAAACATAGCAGGATATTCAAGGTTCAAATATAACAACAATAAAGCTGGTTTTTAATGCAAAAAAAAATAGAGAAAGAGATGAATGTACCTGTATATTTGCACCCCTGGCCTTTCTGCCTCTGACATTAAATACAGGATCTTTCCCCATCTGTGTTATAAACTGACTTTTGGATGAATCAGCAAGGGGTTAGGATGGCACCTATGAAATTGCCTTTTTATATATATATATAAATAAAAATCAGACTTCCTTTACATATGTAGCTTAGTTTTCTCAGCTTGCTAAAAATGAAAGCCGGGTTTAGTCTTCCCTTGCGCCACGCCTTTCTTCCCTCACGAGTCAATCCTCTGATTTGTTTAAAAGGAAAGTGCAACCTGTAGAGAACAGCCTGAAGCAGGAGGGGGAGAAAACTTTTAACAGCTGTCTGGTGCCTTGCCAAGGGACAAAGTTCTCTCATTGGATAAAACCTATTTTTCGCTTCTTATCCATCGCTTCCCACTGCACTGCTAAAGGCCCTATACAAACAGGCAGATCTGCCAAGCACAACACAGTCACACCTCGCCAGCCGTGCGTGCAACCAGCCCTGAAAGATAGGTGCCGAACCAGGGCTGGCTGCTGGTGGGCTCCCCGCTTTCCTTTCATGGTGTGCCTGGGCAGGTCCCTTTTTTAGAACGCTCTTGTGCTGCTATTGTTTCCAGCAAGATACTCACATTTTCAAATTTTGGTATAGATTTTTTCTTTACTCCTCAAAATTTAAACTATCTTAAGAGTTTTTCAACACAGTAGGTGGAGACACAGGTAAGTTCCCTGATTTATTTCCTACAGGAACTGAAGTGGTAGAACTCAGGCAAATGTTAAGAAACCTGGCGCCGCAAATAAATGGTTCTCTATCATAGAGTCAGATGGACTGTGTTACTAGGTAGAAATTAAGAGGACATACATACAGACAAAAATTCACGAGATTTTTAATACCTGAGATGTAGAGCTTCAGTAGGAACATTTCCTAGGGTTTTTGGAGGAAACTAATAGGATCATTTACTTCAGATGTACGTTTTCCCACACTTCTTTTTTTTAAAGATTTTATTTAGAGAGAGCACAAGTGGGGAGAGTTGCAAAGGGAGAAGGAGAGAGTGACCCTCAAGCAGACTCCTCACTGAGTACAGAGCACGACGCAGGCCTCGATCTCTCGACCCTGAGATGGTAACCTGAGCCGAAACCAAGAGTCGGATGCTCACATGACTGAGCCACCCAGGCACCCCTTGCCCACATTTTCTTTTTCCTTTATGGGATTTTTCTTTCCTTCTTTACTGTCTTACCTGCTTAGGTTGCTTGGCATCTCGTTATTTTTAGATCTGTGTGCTACACAGCTGTATGATATCAAAGGAAATATTCTACTGTTTTTAATGTGCTAAAATAACAATATTTAGTTCAAACTGTACTATCTTAAACCTCAGGGAGCAACTCTACCAAATCACTTTCGTTTGTGAAAGCAGAGTGGAGACGCGGACCTCAGAGATCATGCACAGCAACCTAAAGGATAAAGATCTTATCCAAACACTGGCAGCATGCCAGATGGAAAAGCTGCCATAGAAAAAAATACATTTCCAAAGATCATTTTATAATAGTCAATAGAAACCAGGTTTTCCTTCTCTTCTTTTTTTCTTAGATTTTATTACCCTTCAACCTTCTTGTCAGAGGTGAGCAAGGAGGAAAATGGTCATGTTTGCTTCTTTGCTAAATTGTTCATGTCTTCATTCCTCTATACTTTACTCATATGAAAATTCCTAATTATTTAAAACTTTGGTATCAAAAACTGTGGCTTGAATGTCATGATATTTCTTTTGGAAATTGGCTACTTGCATAACTAGAGCTGCAAGGTCAAAAGAAAAAAAATTTTCTTAAGCTGGAGGGCTATTTGAAAAATGTAATGCAAGCAAAATCATGCTTTTGCTTTGATTTTAATGATAGACCAACCAGGTTGTACCTCAGGCAGTATAAGCCATAAGCCCACTATGAGTCGCCTTTGACGGAGCCTCAAACGTGCAGCCTGTAATTGGGCAAGAGCTTTGTATCATTTGAGCTCCACATCCTTTTGAGTTGTAGCTTAATCTATTTAATATAGGGTTCCTTCCATTATCAAGTTGACAGATTCCACTTGGCTGGAGGCGAAGTGCTAGAAACAATGACTAAAGACAGATCTTTAGACCAGCAGCCAGCTAAGAATATGCTAAGTAATTACCAAATGGCTAATATTCTGTACCTCTTTGGTGCAGACCTGGGACAAATAAATAGATATCAGGAAAACCTTAGTTTTTTTAAGACCAGACGTGAGATTTCTGTAAAAGATAGAAATATTCTCAAATTACAAATGGAAAATCATTAACAGTTTTTAGTACAACTTCTTTGAGATTTCTTCTAATTTAGTGACCCATTATGATTTTATTCCTATAAAATTGGAGGTCAGGGTCATATATTACGACTAATTCCAGTATATTTAATTCCTTGAGAATGATCCTCTTGAGTTCAAGGATCTGAGAAGTATACTTTGAAGCCTTGACAAAATTCCAATTAGAGCCTGGTATAAATGGCTCAGTTCAGGGGAGATTATGTTTCTTGTCTAAATATGAAAACAGGGAGAAAGCAGAGCTTTCTTATAGACTTTCCTTGATGTCACTCATTTTCTTCTCTACACCTGCAACATAGAGCCAAAGTTTTCCATTCCACAAGAATGTATTAGTCCATTAAGAATTCAAATGTGATGACAGAATTGTTCTGAATTAACGTTCTGAATTATAATATTTTGAAATAATAAAATAAATTTGGTATGTGGAAGGGTAAATATTTGGTAACAAAATCAAATTATGAAAGAATTCTCTTTGTATTCTTGTTCTTTGGATAAAGGCACATCAAATTCATTTAATTTGTACTAGTTTGAACTTTTGTGTTTTACCACCAGGGGGCAGGGTATGCTAACTATTGAATTAGTGAACACAAAAAGCACACAAGAGGCAATTTCAGACAGAAGTGAAAAATTCCCTGAATGGTTTCTGCACAGATCCTTTAGGGAAAGAGCTTTTGAATTGTTCACAGCATAATTTTCACACCAGCTATAAAAAAACTAATTACAGTGTAAAACTATTAAAGCTCTTTTAAAGTAATTTTTATGATGTGGTGATTTGTTCCATTTAATTTTTAATAATCATGGGTTAATTTAAAACTGCAGTCATAAATGAATGAAAAGAAATTGAAAATAATGGTTTCTCATATATTCCTATGTTTATAGATCACTTTCTTCATAATTATTTCAACTCAAATTTCATGTATCTTTTTAGGAAACAGTAATCTTCCTAACAAATTCACTGTGGGAACTTTAGAAAATACAGAAAAATATATATAACTTAGAAAGTTTTTGAGAAACTTGGGAAGCCTGAATAAGCAAGGATAATCTGTTTTACTAGGTTCTCTTTGATGACCATTAGCCATTTCACCTGCCAACAAACAGAGACAGCTGTCTTTTGGGATCTGAAGTTAATTCAAGAAAAGAACAGTTCAAAAGACAACAGAAACATGTAGCATGGGGTTTTATGGTCAGCTTTCTGAGGTCAGACTTTTTGGAAGGAAAGACAATTGCCTTGGGATTGAAATTATAAATTTTCACTTGTGCTAGTGTAACTGAAAAGAGTATTTCAAAAGCAAAATCCCAAATAGGCATAAAGGACTTAAAATATATACAATTTTGAATTGAGGTTATAATTGACATACTAGTTTCAGATGTGCAAAGTGATGATTTGATATTTGTATATCTTGAAAAACATGCAGTAAGTTCAGTTAACATACATCACCATACATAGTTACAGAATTCTTTTTCTTGTGATGAGAACTTTTAAGTATATTCTCTTAGCAACTTTCAAATATGCAATACAGTGTTATTAACTCTAGTCACCATTCTAGCAACTATATTCCCATCATGTGATTATTTTAAAACTGGAAATTTGTACCTTTTGACCCCCTTCACTCATTTTGTTGGTCCTCCCACTCCCTGCCTCTGGTAACCACCAATCTGTTTTTTGTATCTGAATTTGGTGTTTTTGTTTTTAAGATGCCACATGTAAGTGAGGTCATACAGTATTTGCCTTTCTCTGTCTGCCTCATCTCACATAGCATAATGCCCCCTGGGTCCATCCTTGTTGTCTCAAATGACGAAATTCTGCTTTTTTTTTATGGCTGAATAATATTCCATTTTAAAAATTAAAGTATTTTTGAGAGAGGAAACTGGATTAAAATATATTCAAGGTAAACTGCTTTTATTTACAAGGACATGTGATTCCATATTGATCCTGTTGATCATTCCTTTAATATTATCAATGGTAAGTCTTAAAAACCTTATTCCTCAGGTACATGAACAATGTCTGTATTCCTCTCTACATTTCTTTTCAGTGTCCAAGCAAAACCTATGATCCACTGATTAAATCCACGCGAGATTTTCCAGATGATGTCATCAGTTTCATCAAGCGGCACCCTGTGATGTTTAAATCAGTATACCCAGTTGCGGGAGGACCAACATTCAAGAGGATCAATGTGGATTACAGACTGACGCAGATCGTGGTGGATCATGTTGTTGCAGAAGATGGTCAATACGATGTAATGTTCCTTGGAACAGGTATGCTAGAACCAGATTATGCTTTCTTCCAAAAGAATTTTTCACTATTAGACAAAGAAAACAAAACTTCAAAAAGATTATTGGTAAAAATCAAGTTGAGCAATTATTAGCTAATATCTAGTCAGTATATCTTACCATTACATAACACATGCTTTTAAGTGACAGTTACAAATATCTCCCCACCTCCTTTGGTATTTTTTGAGATTTCAAAATATATTTGTATGTTATGACTACAAAATACCTGCTGAGATTAGGTGCTCAACATATATTTGTTGATTGACTATGGACTAAGATTAAACAAGTATGGCAAAGCAATGTTTATTTTCAAACTTCACATTTTCCTCTCTCTAGGGAGACTTTTTGATAAGCCCCCTCAAAGGATCCCTTCACCCAATTTTGAGAATCGCTGACTGAGTTAAGATGCTTTTCAAAAAATTAAGCAACAGTTTGTAAGTCTTTAAGTAGAAACTCGTTGGAAATCATTTTTCCTGTCTTTGAATTTTGTGGATTAAGTATAACTTTCATTATTAGAGCCCATTTTACTTAATTTTTTGTCTGTCAACTCAGTAATTATAAAATGATTAAAAAATATTTTTCCAGAAAAAGAAATTATAGCTTATTTAGTATGTCTCAAAAAAAAAAGAAAAAGAAAAAAAGGTATCATTTAATAATACCATGTGAATTCAAATGTCAGTAAGGTAACATGCATCATTTAGACAAAAGTACTTCATCATGGATGTTATATGATTTAGTGAATCAGACCTTGCATAAAAAAATAGAAATTAATGGGTTTTCAAGAAATGGACATTTTTATTGAAATAGGTTTTCAGAACTACAGAACAGTTTTATTTATTTATTTTTTAAATATAGTGGTTTTACAAAAGTAGTGTTTGTCAGGGAGTGTGTGTCTCACACACTTAGAGGGCTTTCTGGAATACTATTTGTCAAGCCTGATTATGTTGCAGATGGCAATACCAAGACCCAGGAAAGGAAGTGATGCTTTCAAGACTGTAGAGATTACTACTGAAGTGACAAAATTTGAAATAATTAATCTCTCACGAATTCTAAGGAGTTTGCCCCTTAATGTGCAGAACCCACCCAAAGCATTCCTAGGTCAACATTTCCAGTGTTGTAAATGCCATTCAGCCACTAGGTGGTACTACCTAACTTTTGCTGAGAAAATTATAAGGTAAATAAGATGGGTAGATTTTCAATTATGACATTTGGAAAATGTATATTTAATATTTTTCAAAGATCCTAGAATCATTTAAAAACAGAGTTAAATAATTCAGACTATTTTGTGCAAATAGGATCATTACCATACATGTGAATGTTCTTCAACCACAGTGCCAGAATTTAAAAGCATCTATTTTGTATAAGTTAATTTCCAAATGAGGCTTTTATTGTTTTTTGTTTTTTCTAAAACATTCTTTTGATTGTCTTTCTGCAATAGCCTGCCACCTTGGAAACTGCAATAGAAGATCCTGTGTTTAAGGCATCTTTACTAAATGTCAATTTTTGGTTTATAGTCTTTCAAATTTGGGTTACTCTTTTAAGTTAAACTAAAATAATTTTAAACAAAACTTCAGTTTCTAGCCCATTAATAAGGTTTCTGTAAATAAAATATGTTTGATGAGTGCACTACAATTTTCCCCATGTAGATGGCTTCAGTGATTTCTCTATCATTTGTTAACATGCTTTAAAAATGTATATATCCTACTTTTCGTGGTAAGTTGGATATAAGTACTAACTAAATACTTCTTACACTGAGAGAGAAAAAAACTTAGTATATTTTCACCTTTCAAATTAAGTTACAACAAGGTCATTCCACTTTAGTTATAATTTCAACCAATATTTAAATGAGACATGTATATTCCTTTTGCTAGCAATGTACTTCAAGTACACGTCTTTTAATATTTTCTTTATAAATATGTTTTATGAGCTAAAAACTATCATGTTTTGGAAGGAGAGAATCCAATCCACTAAACTTCCTTTCTTGCATGCTTTATTTAATCTGACTTCTTGAGAGGCATTGAAAGAAAAATGAGGGGAACAATGTCAATGTTCCTAAGCATATACTTACAGCCAAACACTGAAGTAGAAATAGCAGGATCATAGGTCATGTATTTTTTCAGACATTGGGACAGTCCTCAAAGTGGTCAGCATTTCAAAGGAGAAGTGGAATATGGAAGAAGTAGTATTGGAGGAGTTGCAGATATTCAAGGTAAGACAATCCATAGTTCCAGAAGAAATGGTGAAACTTAACAGCTCTTGGTATAGAACAATATGTTGAAACACATCATCACTTTTCCTGGAGATGTCTGTGCACTTAGCTCTTTACTTTCCTTCTCCTTAGGCAATGGAAAAAAAGTTGTAAAAGCAACTGAGAATGGGACTCCCCTTTCCCTGTAGAATACCACTAAATTCAGGGCTCCTGGGATTGCCCCTCATTACTTTATTCTCTAAGCATATGGTCAGACAAATCGCCACAGTAGATGAAAGCCTGGGGTCTCTTTGACTATCCAGATGCTTTTCTACTTTATAAATTCTACTTTTCAATTTTTCCTCAATTGAATTTGAGAAAACTGGAAGAGTGTATAAATCACACGTCCCTGCTTTTTTGTAAGGAATTTTTTTTAAAGGCTGTATGATATGTAAGTCTTCATTCTTTATGTATGCTACATTCCCCTAAAGAGTTAGTAGATCTAAAATAATAGTTTTCTGGATTTGGGGAATGTCTGACTTTTAACAGTACATTTGAATTGTGGTGTTCTTTGTAGATGCTCAGTGACATTTAGTTTAAAATTATTTTCTGAGAATAACATTAGAAATAAAATTGTATTTCTGAGAGGAGCCTTTAAAAAATATGTTGTTCCTTTCATAGCATTTTTGTTGAGATGGTTCATTAAAATGGGCTGTTTCCCTGTGAACATCTATTGCCTTAAAATGGAGTAGAGCCCTCCATGGGGAGGAAAGCAAGGTAATTAACATGCTGAGTTCCACAGGATCCTGTTTACATTGTGATGATAATAGTGGTCAAGGAGTTAACTAGAACAAGATCTGCTATCTGGCATCTACCAAAAACAGTCTTGGGTGGTTCCTGAGGGAGAAGTAGATGTCAAATGTAAGTGTGCACCCAGAAGCCAAAAATAAAACTCCCCCAATACATAGGGCACATTAGAATAAGGTTTACTTATTGACTGTTAGTGATCAAGAGGAATTGTTCGGATTCCACTGTTAAGATTAAGTAATGAATCTGTTTTCTTCATTTAAGAAAAAAGTTACTGGATAGAACTTTCTCATTTTAACATCTTCCTTTCATTTTTTATGTATTTTCTTAAACTTTTCATATCTGCTTCTGTTCATTGGTTTGACAATATTGGCCAGTGATAAATGAATGAATAGTAAATAGGTAGATGATAAGTAGATGAAAAAATTTTAAAGCATGCCATCCTTTAGTTTGGTAGCTTTTGTGTTCATATTTCTAATTTTATATTGCATGCACAACGCCATAATTTCTATAAATAAAGCTAGCCTTAGTTCACATCACAAAATCATGTGCATCAGTAGCTTGCAGTGTCCCATAAAGAATATGCTCATCCACAAGGAGCACTATAACTTTTCAGAACTCTGCTACTTGAACAAGTTTTTAAACTACTGATCTAAGTAAGAGCAGAACGAGGTAATAAATAATTATGGAGATGTTCTTGTCAACACTAGTTTGAATTATATGGAAGCAGTTAAGATAAGCAGATTTAGAAGGAGAAGCCTTGTGGGTAACTGGGAGTGATTTTCAATGCAGAGTCTTTCTTCATACGTTTAGGTAATTTTTCTGTAATAAGATACTTTAAAATAACTATTTTGATAATTTCTATTAAGGTAGAATTACAACGCATTGGAAGGAAATAGCAAACATTAATATCCTTTCTCCCCCTCCCCCGTGTAACAGACCCTTGAAGTTTACTTCAGTGATCTTTGGTACATGACAAAACAACATATCGGCTACTATAAAAGACTGTTAATGATTATCTTTATTAACATTTGACTTCTTTTTTCAGCACTCATCAATCATCTTGAACATGGAGTTGTCTCTGAAGCAGGTACTTTCTAATTTTTGTGTAAATATTAGCTACAGAAGCAACAAGTTCCTCGAATTCAAGTTCAGTTTAGGAAAAATCTATTGAAGTTGGAAGTTAAACTATAAATAATATAAAAAGCTCTAGATTATTTGTTTCTTTTATAACCTCTTAGAGGCCACTGTGGCAGTCTTGTTTTAGGAGAAGTAGAACCAAGTACCATTAAGTGAATGATATATTCTCCCCTTCCCTCGGCTCTTGAAAACTGAGCTCACTTTCTTTGTCTCTTGAGGATGTGTTTCTGTCAAGGCCATAAGAAATGTAGAATACCAGCCCTAATCACTAAAAATGATTTTTAACCAGGGACTCTAGAAGTTAGACTACGGACTGTGGTGGCGAAGAGCGCAAGAGTCAACCTCCATCCTTCCACTTCGTATCTTACTCCTGGAATCAATTTCCTTAATAGTGAAGTTAGGGAAATAAAATCCACCTCCTAATAAGTGGATGCTGCATGCAAAATTCTAGACAGAGAGTTGGTACATTGTGAGTGTAAAGTAAATGGTAGCTAATAATAATATTTATTAGATTCCACAGTTCTCAGATACGATACTCCAAATCCTAGTTGATTCAAGAGGTTCAGACTTGCATTAGGCTAAGAAAGTTATGGGACAATGTGTTGAACCGTAAGGTGTTGCCAACATTGTCTTAATCTACTATGCCTAGTAATGATGCAGAGATTATTAGGGAAAAGATCTAAACAGGTTTCTTCTTTGGTCTTTTCCATTAATTTGTCCACTCAACATTTAGTTCTTGAAGGCCTACTACTGCCCTTGGAGGGTGCAGAAATGAATGAATGGCATAGCCCTTAACTTCCAGAAGCTCACAGTGGAGCCAGGAGATGAAGAGGGAGCACAGTGACAATGCAGAGCAATAATGGAAGCACATACTGGGGGACAGAGGGGAGTCTAAGAGGGAGCCAGGTGGAGCAGCACAAAGAAGACCGTGTACCCAAACTATGAAGGATGTTTCAGTTAACCAGATAAATTCAAAGAGGGTGGGATGAGGAAGCCTATGCCAAGGGGAGGAGGAGAACATCTGGAAAGGTGTGAAGAGCGAGAGACCATGGCTTCTTCTAACAAGTTTGTGGACACTTAGAGCGAAGGGCATATGTGTATGCAGGAGACAAGGAGGCTAGAAACGAATCTGGGATTATAAGACAGAGCAAGATTAGGTGCGTTCTTCTATGTCCTCCTAAGGGGTTTAAAAATTTTATCTGAGGACAATGAAAACTTTTAAATATTTTCACCAGGAATGTGTTGTGATAAGATTTTCCTCTTAGGAAGGTCGATGTGGTGTGGTGGCAGTGTGGCAGAATGGGCTGAGTCCTGGGGTTGAAAACAAGACTGAAGCCAGCGGAAATATTAGGACACTTACAAGTAATCCAGGACAGAAATGATTAAGACTAAGGTGGTCACAGTGGCAGAAGCAGTGGAGAGGAAGAGAAAGAAGTCAAGAGCTCTGTGTAAGAGAAAGGAATAGATATGGTGGCCAACTGAGAGAGAGGGGACTCAGGGACAACTGCCCCCTTTGTGTCCTGGGTGACTGGGGATGGGCCTCTCACCGAGGCAGGGTAGCAGGGCTAGATTGCAGGCAATCAGTATGTCCACCTCAGTGCTGCTTTCAAGATGCCACTGACTCTTTGGAGAATAAGAAAGGCAAAGGAATGAGCATAGAAAAGAGGGGACACCTAACATTTAATGCAAAGAAAGGAATCATCAAAGGAGACCAAAGTCTTAGGCAGGAATAAAGACAGAGCACGAGGAAAAGTGAAGAGAGTTTCAAAGACGATGTCATTCTTGGCGTCACACACCACAGAGAATTTAAGTAAAACAAATACTGAACAGGGGACATTGCATTTAGCAACCGGGAAGTCCTAACTGATGTTGTCATGGGCTAGAGAGGTATAAGACAGATTTCTGTAGGCTGAGTACATGTATGATGTTTATGTCAATATTTATTTCTCAAGTTTTCCCCCTTCATTAAATGTTTGACATGGTCCAGGAGTGTTAACCATGAGTTCCCCCAAGGCACAGGCTCTGGCTTCTTCAACTATATCATCCCTCTCCCTACGTCCTCCAGCACATACACTTCAGTGAATGCATCTAAAGATCAGTGCATTATTTTCAGGACTCATTTTCAAAATGGGATTTTATGTGCTATCCTGCAGCCTTTCATTTGTGATATGGCATCTTTCAAGCCTCCTTAATACTTTCTTCACAGCGATACTAAATATGTTCTCTCCCTCTTATAACCCATTTTCCTTCAGGGATCAGTAAATACTTCATTAGCAAGTGAGATGGTTCAAACCACAAGAAAGTTTTATAAATTCTTTTTCAGTCATCTCTGATGGAGGAAGCCACAGCAGAGGAAGACCATCAGTGTTGCCTAAAGCATCTGTGCTTGATATAATCTACCAAAGCATATTTTCAACCATTGAGAAAGAATTTGACGTCTTAATTCCTCAGTCTAACAGCTGGTTTTTGACCTTCTTAAATTACGGCCAAGGTTATTCTAGCTCTAGAGCACTGTCCATTTCAGTGTCAACATCATCCAGCCACCATCCTGCCAGGAGTAGAAGTGATTGACTTACATTACTCCTTGTTATGTTTCTGCACAAGTGTTTATGTTCTGTATAAGGGACACTTGATGAGACAGATTGAGGTCTGTGGTGTGGTATTCAAGAAAGGGAAGTTTTTAAGACTAGTCTGAAAGATGCTTCCAATTCATTTGTCTTGCCTGATTTGTAGCAACAATTGTACGTTGGCTCCCGCGATGGGTTGGTTCAGCTCTCCTTGCACAGATGCGACACGTATGGGAAAGCCTGTGCAGACTGTTGTCTGGCCAGAGACCCCTACTGTGCCTGGGATGGAAATGCATGCTCTCGATACGCACCCACTTCAAAGAGGTAAGAGGCACAGAGTTAAGGGCCTTCTTTTCTACAAAGTGAATATCTCACACGAATACCTTGTCAGAGTTTAAAGAGAAAATAGATTGCAAACCATGGTCTGCAGTAAGACTATTACAATTCAGGGTTGTTTTACACGTGTGCATAAAACTCAATGTTGAAGGAGGTTAAAATAGAGTGTTCTGAAGCTCTGAAATGGGGAACTTTAAAAGTTTGGATAAATTGTTTATATTCTTTTCCCTCATCTACGTTAAATACTATTACAGGTTTGTTTTCCTCGACTACTTTGCCCTTGCTTTCATTCCTCCCTTCTTCCCTTATTTTTAAATATGTATATACTTTGCCTTACTGTTTTGCAAACAATGTATGAATATATGTGTTTGTAAAAGTGTGGATTATATACAGCCCACAGCACATCCCAGTGACTTGGTAAAATTTTATTTTTACTACAGTAACTCTAACTTGGTCAGCTTCTACCACGCAGATATACTTAAATGTCAAAATGTTGCCCTGCTGTTTGCTGTTCATTGCTTTATGTGCTCTTAAAAATCATCCTATTTTGAGCCAACAACACCCAGCTAGAAATTTCTTCTAGACACACATGGGCAAAAGCACCACAAAGTCATTCAAGCACTGATCCGGTTTCAGCACTGTTTTCAATAGCGAAATAATTGGAAAGAAACTGAATGCCATCAATATGACTGATACTGGCTAAATCTATAATGATAATATTTTAAATGTGTATTTAAGTAACTTTTTTTCCTGTAGTACTGTTTAAAGTGTATTTTTCCTCTAGGTAAAATGTCAGCAAATTGTATATGGTATTTTTTTTTTAATCTTTAGGTCTGTATTAACAAAATACGATAACAGGTGAATATAGTTTAGTCCCACTAGTGCATACAACACTTGTTTCTTGTTTGACAAATCAGTCAAATTTCAAAATCCGGAATCACAGATTGAACGTAGAGTATAATAGCAGATACTGCTTAAAATTAGGAGATATTTTATATTCCCTGAAATTTCTGCATTAGATAGGAATGGAGAGATACTATTATTACAAGTTGAAAGTAAAAAAAAACCCAATATTTTTATTATAGTTTCTAGCTAAGGATATACTTGTGATAGTGAGTCCTTGGGGAATATTTTTCTTTTCTAGAAGCTAAAAAACAAGAGTGCTCATTAGTTGGTAATGAACCTTCAGTTTGATGAATTGACCCTGTTTCTTAAGAAGCCAAGATTTAAAAACGTTCTTGACCTTATGTACCTTATACCATCATAATTTTTTCTTATATTTCCCAAGACTGTATCTCTGATCTTGCAGACATGCCACTGTGATATTTTCCCTTACCTTAACATAACGTGCACGTGGGTCAAAAAAATGTATATGATAGATGAATCTTGTTTGGGGTTATCACCTGGTCAGCACTGCCCTTAAGGAACACCCTAGATATTGCAGAGTTTACTGTGACTTTTATAGTTGCTGAAGTGCCAACATAAAATAGCCAAAGCGAATGAGAATATGCTATAAGAGTTTAAAACTTCTTTAATTTTGATCTGGCAGCTTTTTCTTTCTTTAAGCAATAGCTACTGTTTTCTCTTAAGGAAAAGATGTGACAATAATGCACAACACCATTATTTATTATTATCATTATCTCTACTCTCGGAAAAACAATGTGAACAAGCTCTCAGCAGACAGGAGTGACTTTGAGCCATTCCTGCCATATCAAACTTGTACTTCCATTTGTGGTGACAATATTTAACTTGTTGCTTAATCAAATCTATCTAATAATGAATCTTCCTATGGTAAGGAGTTGTGTGTTTGTGTTTACTTTCCTACCCACTAACTAACACTCTTACATCTTATTACTTTCCCACTGACTGATTGAAAAAAAGAGGGTAGGGAGAGTTGTCCCTGTTGGATGGATCTGAAACCCGGATTATATTTATAGTCAACCTGTTCTACTGAATAATTTGTCAAGAGTCAGAGGACTTAAATAAAATTCAAGTCAACTTATTTCCAAAACAGGATTCACTCTGTTAGGACTCTGTTGTTAGTAGTATTTGAATTAAGTTAGAGTGATGGGAATATTGCCCTGTATTTAAGCTAAGCAGTAAGACAAACATAGTTCTGCTTCTGCCACTGTTATTAGTGTTAGAGGCAGACTTTATATAATCCGGCTCTCACGCTTGATGTTCTAAACCATTTAATCCCTTTTCCATAGGCGAGCTAGACGGCAAGATGTAAAGTATGGAGACCCAATCACTCAATGCTGGGACATAGAAGACAGTAAGTATAGCTTTAATATGTTTTTTTCCCATTTAAAATTTTAAGCCTAGTCTTTGTGTGTCTTTTTATTATAGGACTTAAAATATCTATTATATAGGAAGCTCTTATTTTATATAATGTGTATGTTCTGGAAAAGCAACAGGAGATTTTATAAATCAACCCCCTGTCTACATGCCTAAGTGAATAATGCTTTGTTATATCATTATTTGTTTCATATGTCTTTTAAAATTCCTGTCCTTTTTTTGGTACTTTTTACTGCCTTATCCATTCTTGTAAAGTTTAAAAATGCTAATAAAGATAAAACAGGATATAGTCCAAGACATCTGGACATTTAGGGTAAACTCGGAGACCCTCCCAGAAAAGTCTGATGAGCGAGTAGGCACTTGTTAGAAAGTTAGCCTATGCATTATTTGAATTCATGTATTGATTCATGGTTTCATTCAATCAGTAAATGTTTCATAAGTGACTTCCATGTGCATATAATTGTCCTGGGGACACTTTGGGACGAAGCAACTCCTTCGAGAGCTTATGATTCTTTGGGGAGACGTCATAAAGCACAATTAGTGAAATGGGAGTTTAACAAAGAGAGTGATCACCAGAGGCTGTGTTGTTCAGAGAAAATTTCATGGAAGATCTTGGGAGCCTGAGTACGAACGGGACAGAGTGGAGAATAGAGAGGACTTCTGTTGAGTCTGATAACAGAGAAAAGAAACTGTAAGAGTATATATTCCAAAGCTTTTTTTGCGTTCCACTGCCAAGCTCTACCTTCAGACAGAAAGTGTATATGCATGCCTGTGCGCTTGCGCACACAACTGGAGGAAGGAAACTGCCTTATCACCGTTAGTGACCGCCTCCGCACTGAATAAATAACCCAAACTTCATAGTCTATAACTGGTGGCCTAAAAGTTTTGTAGTTTAAAAACAAAACGATTATTTATCATTCATAATTTCACTCTTCTGAAAAATAAGCTCGGGTCCAACATCGTATGTTCAACTCCCGTTCTAAATGTGTGGGAGACTCCCTGTCACGTCCAGGGTTTTATTTAGCAATCGTTACCGTGTGCTCTGATACGGTTTTTCATTCGTGCACGTGAGATTTATCAGGAACCGTTATAGGTATTGAGGATACACAAGTGAATAAGAAAGAAAACCCACGCATCTGTGGAACTTCTGTTCAAGTTGTGTTAGGGGAGGGAACAAGCGGTGAACTTAAAAACCAGTAAAAATAGATTCTTTATTATGCTAAGCGAAATAGGTCAATCAGAGAAAGACATGTATCATATGATCTCACTGATATGAGTGGTAGGGGGTGGGAGGGATGGCGTGGCTAGGTGATAGACATTGGGGAGGGTATGTGCTATGGTGAGAGCTGTGAATTGTGTAAGACTTTTGAATCACAGGCCTGTACCTCTGAAACAAATAATACATTATAGGTTAAAAAAAAAAAAGAAGATAGCAGAAAGGGAAAAACGAAGGGGGGAATTGGAGGGGGAGATGAACCATGAGAGACTATGGACTCTGAGAAACAAACTGAGGTTTCTAGAGGGGAGGGGGGAGGGGGGATGGGTTAGCCTGGTGATGGGTATTAAGGAGGGCACGTTCTGCATGGAGCACTGGGTGTTATACACAAACAATGAATCATGGAACACTCATTCAAAAAAATTAATTAAAATATATATATATTCTCTGTCAGATGGTGATAAGTGTTGTAAAGAAAGTGACACAAAACAATTCCTGCCTCGGGTGGAGACAGCTACTTGCCATATCCTGTTCCTGCTCTGACCCACCACACCCAGCTCTGCTCATCATCAGCATCACTGCCCCCAATCCATTTTTTGTTAAGGTCTCCAGCAGTTTCCTCCTTGCTGGATCCAATGGCCAATTTTCAGTTCTCCTTTTTACTTCATGTCTAACTCCCTCCTCCTTGAAACACATTCTTTGTTTGACCCAGTTCTTATGGCCCCATGAGAGCTGATTGCTTATTATTTAGAAATTTTGTGAGCTGGTTTTAAATCATCAGTGGCTTGATTTCAGCCGTATTGGGAGTTTTTACACCAGGAAAATGAGCAAGCACTACAAATCAGGGCTTTTTGTTTTCAAAGAGTTGGTGACCCAGCACCGGTGGGCTTCATGGCCCCAAATCCTTCAGGCTTTACTTTATCAGCTGCTCCTCTGAGTGTTCTTCATCTGTCCTTTCCATCCTGCCATCCAAACAGAAAACCTCTGCCTCTTCACTGCCTAACACCATCAATTTCAACACAATCAGAGGCAATTCGCTCCCCAATTCTTAGTCCAGTTCCAAACCTTCTCCAGTGTGCCAGATTTGTATGACTTGTATGCCCAGCCAAGGGCTTCTCTTAGAATGCCTAATAAGCATCCTAAATTATATCTGAGAAAGAATTTGTGGTGTCTTTTCCTGCAGACTTCATTGTTCTGCAGCCTTTCCCATATTAATAAATAGCACCCCTATTCACCCAACTGTTTAGGGGAAAAAAACAGCTAGGCGTCATCTTTTTTATTTTTCTCTTCCTTTCACATCCTAGTACCAACCTCTCAATAAGTCCTTATGGCTCTATGGCCACAACCGCACCTACTCCTTAACCCTCTGTACATGTCCACTTAACTGAAGCCACCACCATACCTCTCCGGGAGCTGTTTATGTGGTTCTCCTGCTTCCATGCTTGTACCTGGTCAATCTCTGTCCCACTTGGTAGCCTGAATAACCTTTTCAAAGACTTCAGCTAGATCACATCATTCCCGTACTCAAAATCTCTCACTAGCTTCTGAGAACAGTTAGAAAAAAATCCACAGCATTTACCATGGCCCACAGACTCTGCTTGATCTGGTACATGCCCTGAGCCTCTCTCTCGTCACAGTCATATGGCTCACTCACTGGCTTTCTCTTTTTCAAAAGCCCCAGGCTGGTTCCTGCGGCAGTTAGGTTTCCATTTGTTTCCTCTGTACCTAAAGAACTCTTTCCTGCAAGTAGTTCCATCTTCACACCATTTAATTTCATGTTTAACATGTTAATTTCTCAGAGACACCTATTTTGACCATCCTATCTGAAATACCTTTCTCCCCGTTCTACCTCTTACTTTCTAATCGGCTTTATTCTTATTTGTAGTGCACAACAATGCCAAATACTATATTCTTTATCTATTTCATTCACTTGATGACTTTGTCTCTGTCACTGGAATGTATACTGTGTTGTAGGCACACAAGAATGTTTGTGTAATGCATGGGTAAAGGGAAGGATACTTAGCTGGATAGCATTCGAGCTGCACTAAGAGGGGAAAGGCAACTTTTAAAAGTAGATGAAGCACCAATAATTAAAATCAGAAAGACCTCACATACATTGGGCTAAGTTTGTGAGTTTATGTTTGTCCTGCAGGTTATAAGGAGTTAGTTCGTATTTCTAAGACAAATCATTTTTAAAAAAATAGAATTCACACTGTATAGGAAAAGCCAGAGACAGAGAATCAACTGTGGGAATTCAAGTAGAAGTTATGAGGGTATTTACAAACTAAAGTATTTAAAATCTTAAGGAATTTTTTTGTTAAGTTATAATTGACATGTAACATTATATTAGTTTTAAGTACATAACAATAATGATTCGATATTTGTATACATTGTGAAACAATCACAGTAGGTATAATTAGCATACATCACAACACATAATTGCAAAAAAAATGTTTTCTTGTGATGAGAACCTTTAAGAGGTACTCTCTTTGCATCTTTCATATGTGCAATACCGTATGATTAAGTACAGTCATCGTGCTGTATATTACATCTCTGGGACTTATTTAGAACTGGAAGTTTGTACTTTTTGACCCCCTTCACCCATTTTACCCACCTTCCACCTCCCACCTTGGGTATCCACCAATCTGTTCTCTGTATTTTTGAGCTTGTTTTTTTGCTTTTTTTAAGATTCTGCATATAAGGGAAATCATGTGGTATTTTTCTCTCTGTGACTTACTTCACTTAGCCTAATGTCCTCAAGACCCATCCATGTTGTCACAAAAAAAGCAAGATTTTCCTCTTTTTCATGACCGAAAAATATTCCATTGTGTAGATATATACCACATCTTCTTTATCCATTCATCCTTGATGGCACCTTCCATTGTTTTCATATCTTGGCTATTGTAAATAATGCTGCAGTGAACATGGGGCGATATAGCTTTTCAAGTTAGTGTTTTTATTTTTTTTTCAGGTAAATACCTAGAAATGGAATTGCTAGATCATATGTTAGTTACATTTATAATTTTTTGAGAAACGTCTAAACTGTTTTCCATAGTGGGTGCACTAACTTACATTCCCACCAACAGTGCACAAGTGTTTCCTTTTCTCTACATCCTCGCCAACACTTGTTATTTCTTATCTTTTAGACAATAGTCAGTCTGACAGATACAAGGTCATATCCCTATTGTATATTCTTGACTCCTTTGTTGTAAAATAATTGACTATCTATGTGTGGGTTGATTCCTGGGCTCTTGTTATGTTCCATTGATCTGTGTCTATTTTTATGCCAATACCATACTGTTTTAATTACTATAGTTTTATAATATGGTTTGAAATATGGTTTATTTTTCTGTGAAAAATGTCATTGGAATTTTGATCGTGATTGCATTGAATCTGTAGATTGCTTTGAGTAGTACGGACATTTGACAATATTAATTCTTTTAATCCATGAGCATGAAATACCTTTTCATTTACTTGTGCCTTATTCAGTTTCTTTCATGAATTCCTTATAGTTCTTAGTGTGCAGGTGTTTCACCTCCTTAGTTAAGTTTATTCCTAAGTATTCATTCTTTATGATACAATTGTAAATTAAATTGTTAAAAAATGGGAAATTTAAAACTCAGAAATGAAACAAAAATTATTGGTGACAACAGTAAATTAATTTCCTGCCAAACTGACATAGGAATGACTTTGTGTCAAAGGTCACTGTTTTTACTGATTTGAAAAAGGATTCTGTACAATAAGCTATTTCACTTTTCTCGTGTATTTTGCTAATTTATCTTTTACTAACTTGACCGATTCTTTGGTTAAATCAGTCTAACTGAGCTTCTCCCCAGCCCTTGCCCCATCACCTAACAATCAGCCTGCAAGCTCCCTGCTTTGTTCATGAACTCCTTTTTCTCAGGAGAATGGCATCTGTTACTATGAAATAATGTGTGTCTTTCTCTTCCATGATTGGTACTGGTGATCTTTCTGTGTATTAGGAATTTATTAACTGTGAAAATCACAGATATAATCTGTTGAATTGGCAAGGATAGTGGATATCTTACAAGTTTCAAATGGAATTCACACATTTTGAAAGTTAGATGAGGTTAATTCATAATGGTGTCAGCACGCCTGACTTAATCATTGCTGGTAAGACCCAAACAAGTTCAAAAGAAGTTTCTTCAAAGGAAAGTCTAACTATTGGATAAATGTGCATTCATGCCATTTGCTGATAATTTTGTGTGCTTACATTTAGGATTCACAAAGGTCCCTTAAGCCTTACTCTTCGTTTATGCCTAACATGCTAAGTAGACCCATCTGCAGAATTGAGACATCTGAATATATGATGAAAAAGTGCATGTTCGGGCCAGGCTGAACAGCCGACATTTTTTATTTGATCAAATTTGAGCTACAGATCTTAGATCACACATGGGACACAGCCTTTGGCTACTCTGGATGGAATGTATTTCAGATGCTGCAGTTGATTTACGAGAATAAGGTGTCTGAGACACTGTTCCTTTAGCATCCCATTAACTATCTTATAGCAAATGCATGTTGGGCTTAAGTACCACTCTTTGAATAAAAGAGAACTGTTTTTTGGTAGATAATACAGATAAGGTCCACATTTAGAGTATTAGAGCATCTAGCTCAATATCATCTTTATAGAATTTTATCAAGTACAGACCATTGTACTTACTTTGTGGGTATAAAATGTCTTAATGTTATATGGTCAACTCTGTGGATCGATTCATGATAGAATTTCTCTTAAAGGATGAAGTAAACTCCTCTTCTGGAACTATCCACTAAATTCATTATATTTTATACAAATTAAAACGTGTGAAGCATTAAAAGACACTAAAGTTTTATTCATTTCAGCTCAGAGAAAGAGATTCAATGTTTAGAGTTAGGTCTTATGAATTCTTATTAAAAAAAAAACAGTTGCAAATAGTTAATATATCATGAAAGGGTAAAAATTGCAATGCAGGGATAGAGTTTTAAAAATCAATCTATTAGATAATATTTGACTCTTAGGTAACAATATCATATCATGAATTTCCTCTCTCTTTAATAATGTAAAATGAATCTTTCCCCAATAGCATCTGTTCTAAATCAGTCTATTTTCCCATTGCTTTTAAAATAAGGTCAAGGTTAATCTTCTATCCCATGTTTGCATTCCAGGCATTAGTCATGAAACTGCTGATGAAAAGGTGATTTTTGGCATTGAATTTAATTCAACCTTTCTGGAATGTATACCTAAATCCCAACAAGCATCTATTAAGTGGTATATCCAGCGGTCAGGAGATGAGCATCGAGAGGAGGTGAGTTATAGTCATCAAAGAACGACCACCTTGAGGGAAATAGTGTAAAAGTTAAATCAAGTTTTGGTTGCGAGAGATGTCCAATGTTCAGTGCCATACAGTGCTCTCATCACTATCTGATAAAAAGGAAAATAACAATTTATACTCACTAACATGAAACTTAATGCATTTGAGATAAAAATAGGACAACTTATTACAGATACATTAATAAAGTATATTTAAAAGCAGATTGCATTTTTAAAGGAAATTTACATTTTTTTTTCAAATTTTCATTCTCATAGATTGTCTATATTTTAGAACAATTCCCTGATCAAAAAATAAGAACACAGTATTTTCCCCCACAGTGGATAAGGACTAAATTTTAACTCATATTGTGTTTAACTTATATCATAAAACAGGTTGAATATGTATATCAACAGAAAGATCTATCTTTATCATATCATATGAACAAGTTGGATAACTAGCTGGACATGTACCTTTTCACTCTTGTTTTGAAATTAAATCAACAGAGGGAAAAGTAACGTAGATGTTCCCTTCATCTTTTGACTTTTTCTGTTTCAGTCTTTCTAGGACATACATAGGGGTTGAAACAATCAGAAATTTTGTGAGGTAGATAGGTTAAGTATGTTACTGAACTTAATGGGACAATTTCGGGTAGCCTGAGAAATCCTGTATTTATTATTTGAGTGCCATGAAACAAGGGGTAATTGGCAGGGTTTTTATTTTTCTCTTTCGGTGCCTAAGAGAAACCAGCGAAACTCAGTATAGAGTTCTAATATTCCCAGTATTAAACTGAGGACACTGTAATGAGTAATCCAATGAACTCAGGATTCGGAATTAGATGTTCAACTGAATCCCTGTCCTAGGTCCTTTGATAATATCACTGAGTCCACATGGGCCAGAATTTTCTAACGTGAACAAAATAAATACAAAAGTTACTATGAAAATAAAATGAGAAAATACAGATGAAAATGTGAATTTCAAAGCAGAGGATTATTCACAAATGTAAAATACGTATATAAAATTGCAGATACTCTTATCAGGAAGATGTGTGAAATTCGAATTAGCACTGATCACGTGTTCAGTTGATTTCTGAGGATTTATGAACAGGTTGTAACTTCTCTAACACTCAGTTTCTCTGTCATATAAACAGGCCGACCAAATGCTCTAAAATACAACCTTCTTGATAAGTCTATAAACATTTAAGGGATACCTGGGTGGCTCAGCCAGTTAAGCGTCTGCCTTCGGCTCAGGTCATGATCCCAGGGTCCTGGGATCGAGCCCCGCATCGGGCTCCCTGCTCCGCGGGAGGCCTGCTTCTCCCTCTCCCACTCCCCCTGCTTGTGTTCCCTCTCTAGCTGTGTCTCTCTCTGTCAAATAAATAAATAAAGGCTTAAAAAAATAAAATAAAATATTGACTGTTTACATAGTTAATACCAAGGGAATACTCCAATGTTTGTTATGTCAGATTTCTCCAATAAAACTTGATTCTTCATCATTACTAACATCCATAAATTCTAAGATTATGGCATATCCATATTTATGCTAAATATGGATTTATTTTACGGGCCCCGTTGTTCCCAGTGTATATTAAAGTATTATCTGACCTGGAAGTAATTATGTAACTTTGAAACATAAAGCATTAACCTTTTATCAAAGAAATACAGGAGGAATGTTTTCTGAATTTTTTTAACATGCAAATATTTAGTTACATTGCAATATTTTACATTTAAACGTCCCAAACTATTATTTTAATTTTATAGTCAATAAATTTTGATAACCTCTCCTCAGCTAAACATTATTCTTTAATAATTATGTTTCTTCCATGGCAAGTTTAATATGACTTTTAAAAAATATATGGTACTCTGCTTGGGGTAATCTCTTACCCCAAGTTATAGGTATACACATTTGCCTATTCATGTTTGTGTTCACATCTTTTATCTTCCTGAAAAGGCAATGAATTACTTTAATGTACCTTTTAAGAGTGTATCACCCAGTCATGGTGGTACCATGCTCCATGAATTTTAATGGAGCAGAAATAGTGTATTTTACTTCAAAGCATCCTAGCTATAATATTCCAACTGGTATTTTCATCTACCTTTGTAAGTAGGTAGTTACACATTGTCCAGGATATGCGATCCTGCTTCCTGAGCTGAGGAAAGGGGCAAGATCCAGACTAGATTTGAAGCACTTTTCTCAGCAGGCTACCTTCTGCTCCTTACCAAGAAGGTCACAGTTTGGAATCTTTACCCCACTGAAAAAAAGCCTGTGGGAGGGACTAGAATCTCCTGTGGCACAGAGCCTGTCACCAGCTTATTCTCTGCCAGGAGGAGATCATTTCCTTACTGAGCTGTTTCACAGTTGGATGCTATTGGAGAGGTCATGAGTCACTTATCTGCTGACTTCCTTATAAAGCTATTCTTGAAATTGATGGTGCTTATGCTGTAAGTAGCGAGTTAATTGGCAGTCCCTGGGCTTCTGTTGTACTTTTGGGGTCTGAATGACTAGAAGAGGCAATACCTTATACCATTGTGGTAGTATTTGTGTGTGTGTGTGGCTTTTAACAATTATTTTTAAAACATCTTCAAATATTTGTATTTTAATCTCTGTAGGTCCTTGTTTTATTGTTGTTCTTTCTATTATAAAAGCAATATAAATAGTTTTGGAAAATATAGTGACACATAAAGGATTTTGAGGCCTCTAATGATGGCTATTCTCTAGCTTTTTTTCCCCTAACGATTACACTGTGAGCATTTTCCTTATCATTCAATTGTAATACCATACTTTTCCTGTCCCTTAACACTCGCTACCTTGATGCCACAGTCATCCATGATTAGTCCATGTTATTTAAATAGCAGGTTTCATCTTAAAAACAAGTAGTGAACTTTTTTTTTAAATTTTTTATTGTTATGTTAATCACCATATATTACATCATTAGTTTTTGGTGCAGTGTTCCATGATTCATTGTTTGTTCATAACACCCAGTGCTCCATGCAGAACGTGCCCTCCTCAATACCCATCACCAGGATAACCCATCCCCCTCCCCCCCCTCCCCTCTAGAACCCTCAGTTTGTTTTTCAGAGTCCATCATCTCTCATGGTTCGTCTCCCCCTCTGACATACTCCCCTTTTCTTCCTCTCCTGTTATCTTCTTCTTTTTCTTTTTTCTTAAAATATGTTGCGTTATTTGTTTCAGAAGTACAGATCTGTGATTCAACAGTCTTGCACAATTCACAGCGCTCACCGTAGCACATACCCTCCCCAATGTCTATCACCCAGCCACCCCATCCCTCCCACCCCCAACCACTCCAGTAACACTCGTGATATCTAAATCTTCCTCTGCTTTCCTACATGCTTTCTTAGGACAAATCTTTTGAGATAAAATAACTGAGTGAAAGGCTTCAACTATCTTTAAGGCTTTTGATAAACAACTGTATGTTGCTAATTTCTCATCAAAATCACCATATTAGTATTTTTTTCTGAACTCCTGAAGCAAAATGGTGTATTACAATTTAAGAACATCCTTACTAGTTTGATATGAAAAATGTCATACTATGTAAACATGTTATGTAAATATTTTTTTTTAAAGATCTATTTATTTATTTGAGCAGGGGGAGGGGAAGGGCAGAGGGAGAGAGAGTGTCTTAAGCAGACTCTGTGCTGAGTGCGGGGCCCGACACAGGGCTTGATCTCACAACTCTCAGATCACGACGTGAGCCGGAGCAAGAGATGGACACTTAACCAACTGTGCCACCCAAGTGCCCCTGTAAATATCTATTTCTTTGAAAATTAGTGGATGTGAATTTACCTTGTCATGTTTCTTGGCTGTTGATTTCAGTTGTGTTTAGTGAAGTGCTTTGCCCATTGTTTGCTTAGTTTACATTGAAGTATTCATTTAAAAATGATTTTCACAAGCCTTTTATATATTATCGATGTCAACAATCTAATGTTATACATATTAGAAGTAACTTATTATGTTTTATGTCTCTAAATTTTTTTGTGTTCCTCACAAAAAAGCGTTTTATATTTTATATGGACAAATCTATAGATTTATATCCCTATGATTTCTCACTCATTATGCTTAGAAACTCCTTTCCTGATGAAACAGCAAATGTGTATTTTTCTAGGTATTTCGTGTTATTATTACCATTGCAGTTTACGTTTTCTCTTTACACTTACTCGAGGATACCAAATTAATCTAGGGGTTAAATATGTATAAATTCAATTTTTCTTTTCTTTTAAATAAGGAGTTGCCTCTGCACTATTTTTAAATAAGTCTTCCTTCTATGTTTGTTGCAGAGAAGAGATATTCTTGAAGGCCTAGTCACTTCCAAGACGCATGCAATGCTTTAGCTATGAGAGATCTGACAGGTGAATTATCTGCAAAGGAATTACCATTAGGCTGCTATTATCGGAGAGCAGAGTCCCCGACCTTTACCTGCTGCTTAGTACCTAAATGTCCTTTGTCCCTCTCCACGTTACTCTTTTCATTTTAAATGAATTGCCCTTCACTGAAGATCTACATTTAATAATGCCAAATATATTATCCTTGTTCACGTTAGGCAAATGAATAGTCGACCCCAGTTCAAGCGTGGTTTTGATTTAGCTGAGCGGTTTTTACTTATCACTTTTAGAGTGGAGAAAATTCCGTGAGTTTAAATCAGTGGCCAGAGATTACATTATCTCTTTGTAAAGGAGCTGAATTTTCTAAATGGACTGTGCTGAGATGTCACTGTCCAGATACAGTCTGCATAATGCATCCTCTCCCAGCGGGGAATGAAAGCAACACAGAGAATGGGAATGTAAAGCAGGCCAACGTTCATCAGCCGCTTAATTTGGGCGGCACAGATTCTTGTCTCTAAATCGCAAAAATAAAAATCCTAGGAAAATATATCAATCTCAACTGTATTTTATTAGAGGTATGATTTCAATCAACGCCTGTTTTTGAAGATTCAGAAAGAAAAAACACTGAAGTGATCAAATAAACATTAGATAAATCCAGAAAGAAATTTATTAAAGCAAGTTTTATATCTATGGGTCCAAAGACAAAGAAAAACTAAGCGTTCCATGGAAGAAAGGAAAAGGGAAGGACTGCAGGGGAGTAAGGAGATGCTAGGTGTTTATGAAACTCTGAGTCCTGTAGCGATGGACATAGTCTGGGAAGGAGGGGAGGGGAGCTGGACTTCAGAGTAAAACAGATACACAGGATACAGAAAGAGAATGCAAAGATAATGATGAAGTGTTACATAATGTGTGCGAAATCAAAGTCATAATTTCTTCCTGTCAGGAGATTAAAGAAAACAATAAAAAGTAGTGAGTCAGAGCAGTGACAATCTCTAAAAGCCACATGAAGTGCAGTTTAAGCATTAGCAAGAGTCCCAGTGTTGGAAAGGAAATCTAGAGATGAACTGGAACTGAAATCACCCACTTTGATTGTCATGCTAATAACCACGCGCCATTTTCTATTAGGAGACTTATAAAAATAAGGGCTTCAATGAATCATGGAACACTACATCAAAAACTAATGATGTAATGTATGGTGATTAATATAACATAATAAAATAAAATAAAAAATAAAATAAAAAAATAAAGAACTGAAAAAAAATAAATAATAATTAGAGGCTTCAGAACATCGCCTCTCCAGCTCTCCCGCAACACGCAGTAGTCTATAATGTTGCAAATAATACTTCACACTTTAACCTTCAAAGAGCTTTACTTTTAACCCCCCAAATACACCATATGCTATGTCACCAACTTGATAAATGGAAGACCAATCAGGGAAGATAAATGAGTAATCATAGGAAGCAGAGTCTGCCGATAAAGACCAGATCCTCGTCTGTGGAGTCAGAGTTTTGTGATCTAAGATGTATTTAAAATTTAAAGAATAATTCGTACAATAAAATTATGTAAAAGAAAAGGTATATGGAGTGTGTTAAATTTGAGTTTGACATTTCTGTTTAAGATTGGCCCTTGAGAATCCTCCAATTCCAGTTCACATTTATTTTAGGCACGAGGGTCCCCAAATCTCTGAGAATTTAAGTGAATTCAACATTAGCGTGTATTACAACAGCATTTTAAAATGCTTGGGCCTTTAGAATAAATCCATTCTAAAAAAAAAAAAAAATGGGGAAAGTTAAGGGAAACAAACAAACAAAACCCCGATGGTGTGGATTCAGCCTAGGAGGAAGGCAGGCTGGAGACCATTCAGCCTCATTAACCAAGGATCTGTGCTGTGACCTGCCTTTGGCCTAGAGTGGTACCCCACCAGCTGCATTTCTCTGGCATAGAGGGTGGTTAGTTAACTGGGCCAGTAGCCAGAGATGTTTCTTTTCCTTTTCTCATATTTCCAGAATTGGAGGGATTTTTTCCTACATATTTTTCACATAAAGATGCGGAGTCCACCCACTGTGAATAAATTGAATTTAGCTGTCTTTATGCCTCCTTGATTTCCATCGACTGAAAGTCTACAATACAGGGGCAGATGTGTAAACTGGGAAATCTTCCAGACTTCTTTGTTGTTGTTGTTGTTGTTATTCTACTTAATGCCGAGACACTCAACAATATCCCACATGAAACAGGGCTCTGGTGTGGCTAAACAGGCCTCCAGCTTTATGGAAGATAGGTTTGCTCTTCACACCAGCCTGTGGGCCAGGCAAGCTCAAATGTTTGAATTGTCTTTCAGTACTCTTGCTTCAAAGGGTAAAGAGCATCACATTTCAGGAGGGGTTCTTTTTGTTCATTGAGTTTTCTCACACTTGAAATCACATTACTACGTTATAGTATACCAAGGTATGGCAAATATTTCCACAAATGACATCATCTCAAGTATCACATGTACACACAGTATCAACATTCAATCCGTAGTAAAAAGGGAAATTCAGCTTTAAATGTTGCTAACCTTCTGCCTATGGTCCTACTCAGTTACAGCTCAAACATCCAAAAAGCTGGATCCATGCTTTTCCATTAGACTTTTAACAAGTCACAACTTACAGTCTCCATATGCTATTCAGCTCGCTTATTGGGAGATATCCAGAAAAGAGAGTAAATTCCTTTTGCAATCATCGTTCTATTTCTCCATTACAGGTAGTAGCGTGCCCTAAAAGCTCTCTTTCTGCACAAAGGCTGTCCATGTCCAGTTCTAGCTCTGAAATTTAAATACCAGTTGGTGTTCTTAGTATACTACTTGGTATCTGAAATCTCTGTAAAGACGGTTAGTTGATAGTTTCCGGTTTTACTTCAGTGGTTTTTCTAGCTTTTCATTCCAATCTGTAGACTGGGAGAAAAATTAACTATATTCCAAAGGTTTAGTTAGATAATAATGAGAGGCAAACATGCATGTTTGGGGGCTGTTACTTTAGTGGAATTTTTTTTTACTCTCTTCATCTATGGCTGATAATATTGTGCTCGATGACAGAGATGGGGATTGATCTCTTAGGTTCATCTAAGTAAAACTATGTGGCCTCTGTTCATTTGCTCACGGCCCTCTCTGTTTTTCATTTATTACCTACATTTTTCCAATTCTGCAGTTGAAACCTGATGAAAGGATCATCAAAACAGAGTACGGGCTACTGATTCGAAGTCTGCAGAAGAAGGACGCTGGGATGTATTACTGCAAAGCACAGGAACACACTTTTATCCACACCATAGTGAAGCTGACTTTGAATGTCATTGAGAATGAACAGATGGCAAATACCCAGAGGGCAGAGCACGAGGAGGGGCAGGTCAAGGATCTGTTGGCAGAGTCACGGTTGAGATACAAAGACTACATCCAAATCCTTAGCAGCCCAAACTTCAGCCTCGACCAGTACTGCGAACAGATGTGGTACCGGGAGAAGCGGAGACAGCGAAACAAGGGCGGCCCCAAGTGGAAGCACATGCAGGAAATGAAGAAGAAACGAAATCGAAGACATCACAGAGACCTGGACGAGCTTCCTAAAGCCATGGACACGTAGCTGTCTGTTTAATTTAAAGAAAGGAATTCTTTACCTGCAAAAATACCGTCTTCTGTTTTGTACACCCCGTATACTAACTCATAAGAGCTTTCCATGGAGTTTTGCTAAGGCAAAGAGCACAAGAACAGTGATCTGATTAAGACTATATATGGTGAATATGGCATAGTAAGGGCAACTAATTCATCTGGACCAGTTTTCCAAGAACTAAACACGTACCTGCAAAGTATCAGAATTATCCTCAAAATTGGGGCTTTACATTTGTAAATGTTTGATGTGCTGAGTTTTTGAATTTATTATGTCATGTAAATAATTGAGCTGAGCGAGCATCAAATTTGATATTACAATTTGATATTACAATAAGGTGCTTTATTTCCCTTGTATGGCCATTAAGCACAGACTTGACCATGCAGTTGTGCTATATATGTGTTCTTAGGAACAGATACATCATTCCACTCTAGAACTCGCTCCCTTGTGGTAGGATTTGGAGAGAAGACACAAATTCGTACAGCTCACACTATCAGCAGGAACTTTCCCAGGGAGCCCTTCACTCTTGGTGCAGGGTTTAGGAATTTGGAGAGGTGTGTTATTTCAGACCCCAGAGGTTACATTCGGTGTACTGCGGTGTGATATACTGAAGGATGTAAATGCTCCTCCCAGGATTCCTTATGACTTGTCAAGAGTAACAGGTTCACAGAGAGAAGTTGGTACTCGGTTATGTGTTTTTAGAATATACGCTGAGCTTTACAGGGACAGAACGTTTCATAAATATTTTAATAATATATGAGAAAACATTTTAATAAGGGAAACACCATGATGTATACTGCGTCCTGATGGGAAGGCATGCAGATGGAATTTGTTAAGAGACAGAAAGAAAGACAGCCATAAATTCTGGCTTTGGGGAAAACTCAGATCCCCATAAAAAGGAAGAACGATCACAAATAAACTGGGCAAAATGTTATGTAGCTTTATTCACTAGAGTATGAGTAGCTGCCAATTTGTAATCCATCTGTTAAAAAAATTCTACCTTATAACAAACTGCTAGCGAAAGTCTGAGGAAAAGTAAATTTTCTAAAAGATCATGGGAAGAATGAACACAAATTTATTTACAACCGATGGGACTTCAGTAGTACTTCCTCTCTCTTTTTCTAAAATTTCATTATACTCTGTAAATTATTTCCATTTACTGCCTTTATTCTCTCCTGAATATTGGATTATTGGATTTTATTTGAGTGAATATACATATATAGAGAGATAGAATTAGGTAGACAACAGAGGTGGGGAGCGGGGATATATATTTGTTGAGTAATAGAACAAATGCAAAAATGTTGACAACGGAAAGGGTTAAATTAACTCTTTGACATCTTTTCTTCACACAATCTTTTTGCATTTCCTGAGATTGTATGCTGTAATTCAAGTAGCATTGTTTTAGTAATTTAATAATAAATAAGCCTAATGCATGTAAAGAAACCGAACTCACAGCATTAACATAAACATTTTTCGTATTTTGTTAGCACTTTCAAATGTTTCCAATTTGACTTTCCCTCTGTGGACGTATGGTATGTTTCCTGCCTGTTGGAGCTGAACTCACCTTTCCTTCTTGGAACGCAAAACCCTTTGCCTTCTTCTGTTTTGCCTCTTCACGCCCTTTTTAGTGTGAAATGAAAAATTAGTCACTTCCTCACATGGAAGGCAGCCTTTCAGAAAACTGAATAGCAGACATTGCTCATCTAGCATGCATTCTGCATGTCTTGAAAGAAGAGCCTGTGAGAACCTGGTGGTTAGAGGGTGCCTTATGAAGAGTTTTGGTATCATGTCTGTGACTGCCTTTATGTTGGGAACATTCAATCTTATGTTCATTTTCTTTGCCTTCCTTACCTATCTCAAAGTAGTCACACGGCTATATGAGGTTAGGTACCCCTTTTGAAATGATACCCGTAAATATTTGTAGATGTTTCACTAGATTGAAAACTTGAAGATTTTTTTGTTTTGTTGTTGTTGTTGTTTGTTTGTTTTGTTTTTTGTTTTTTAAAGTGAACCAGAAACAATGACTCTTAAAAAAGTAATGCAGAAGAATAGCTGTGTGTGGGGGGGGATCAGGCTGCTAATTGAATATCATAAAGAGAGTGTCTGTAATTATTGATTTGCCAGGTTTAAATGTTCCAGGAACTCATGACAAGCTCAAAGTGAATAATGGGAGCATGTTTAATTTTTAAGATTTCCTAAGATTTGTATGTCAAACAGTCATGATCAAAGTATAGGTGACTTTGGGAAAATTACATGAAACTCAAATGTTAAGATTGACGTGTAATAAATTTGGTTTTCATCAAAATATGAAAGTTCAAGCCATTTTTAAATTACTCCTTTCTAATCTTAATTATTTAGATAAAATTTGGGCAACCTTTTTTTACTTTGCAGCTAATATTTTGGCTGCTTTGGATCTAAAACATTAATTTATGATAATTGCTTAAATATATTTGAAATATTGAGTAAATATTGAGTAAAACAAAATGTCATATAATAAAAAAATGGGCAAAGATTTATGTGTATTTATAAAGATAGAGGATCTAGGCTACATTTAATTTTTTAACCTTTTAATTGCCTAGAACACTTACAAGGACAGTATGAATATATTAAGTCTAGAGATGAGACACAATTATACTTCCTCACCACTGAATCTTTTACCAAATTTTCCTTGAAATAATGAAAAATAAAATTAGAGTTAATAGTTTCAGATATGTTTGTTAAGAAACTAGCTATCTATGGAGAGGTCTTAAAATGTCTGCCTATTCTTGGTTTCATATTTTTCTCCCCTGTTTCGAATACATACGTCTTTAACTTGCATATTCTCGCCTGTGTTTCATTCCAGCTATTTATGCTGCTAAATGGAATCCTGCCTTTCTGCATACATTTACATTCACTTTATTGGGGATTTTAAGAGTTTGCTTGGAAATGAAGAGTCTACATAATTAATTTATGTAGAACCTTTTTTTCCCTCCAAAGAGCTCAACACACTACATTCATATTACTGAATAAACGTTTCTGAAAACCAACCAAATTACTTAAGAGTTGGAAAAATAGTCATAGAGAAATTCAGAAATTTGCAAAAGCTACAACAGAATTATAATCTATACCAAATCTCATCAATCGGTTGGCTAACTGATGATGCTCATTTACAACATGCTGCCTACAAAATGGTATTACTCTTGAATTCTGCTTTTGGTCTATATTTCAGTTCTTTTATGCTATTAGGTTTTGTTCCTGCTGAATTGTATAGACTCGATTAAAAAATAAGTTTACAGTGGCCAGTGCCTGTTTTTCAACATTATCAAAGGTAAGCTTTCAAAGACAATTTTCTATTATCCAGATGTCCACAAAATATTAAGTTGAACAATAGCATTAATTAAACACTGATATTTTAAACTTAAATATAAGCTATATTTCATATATATCATAAATACAAAGGAAAATTAAAACTGAAACAGCTTTCTCTTTAGAATGCTACATTTGTCTTAGACAACATGTTGGAAAATGGATTAGTCTTATTGGGAATGGACAGTTTAGAAAAAAAGAGATATTTGAAGTGTTTTTATAAAAAAATACATTTTTTCTCACCGGAAATAACCAAAATATTTAAATAACTTGGCTTACATGTGAGGTTAAAAAATAAGATCTAAAATTCCAACATTCTACATATTGACAGTGCAAAGACAGGAACATGCGCATGATTTATACCTCTCATTTAAATATTTTGTAGAATAGTGTATTTATGGTAAGTTTGAGATAGATGATTTTTTGGGGGAAGGGCAACAATCTATCAGTTAATCATGTAATTTAATTCCGGTATTATAAGTGGCTACCAATCAATTTTGAATTACAGTTTTGCTATTTTAAAAGAAATGTAGTCTTGTAATCTAAAATAATTGAAAATTGTCAAATGTATATTTTGGTTGTATTATAATAAAACACAAACATTAGTGTTCTATGGTTATAAACAGAATGTTCGTTTGTGTGCAAGTTTTGTTTTCAAACCCTAAATGTGGTTACCAGATTTTTGACATGGAATTGCACTAAATCAAATACCTAAGAAAATATTTCCTGAAAACATTCGGTAAATATGTTTTGGACTTTAAGTATGCAGTAATTTCTCTTATGAAAGAAAAGAATATATGTCTCTCCCCAATCAATACAATTATATAGCTACACTTCATTGTGATCTAAATTTAGACTTCGGCAAACTGACATAAATATTACTATTGCAAGTAATTACTTTTAAGATTTCCAATGATCCTCCTATAAGTGAGATTTGAAAGTACTCATCTATATGTTTAGCTATATGAGCATAATTTATTAAAGAAGTTAGTTGAGGTCTTTGTTTTAGAAAGAAATTTCTTTTAGAGAAAATTATATTTCTTGCCAATTTGGTATATTCGTGAAGGATATTTTATATTTGCAATAGGTAATATATAACAACCCCCCCAACCTGGTTATGAAGTAGCTTGTAGAGATATTGTACAGAAGTATGTCAGGTTTTGTGGGTGCTCTGACAATCTTTAAGCATGAGAGTTTATAGTAATGATAATCTTTAAAAGAAAAAATAATTTAATATGGGGCACTCTTAGTAGAACCTTAGTAAGATCATGTCCAAGTCGTTACTGTAAATAAAACAAAGCACAAGATTAATAATGGAGAAAATTCCAATTGTATTTGTTTGAAGGTAGAAAAGTACATGAGTAATTCTCAAGACAAAAGAAACAAGAGTTTAACATTTAAGTTGAGAATTAAAAGCCTCTATAACCACACAATTTATTACCTGCATAAACAATTTTCCTAGCCCAGGGAAGTCTTGCCCAGGAAGATGAAGCTGCAGATAACTTTACTGTTTCTTTCAGAAGATCATATATTTTTCCTTTGTGTGTATATTAGTACAAACATACATCTTGGAGACTGATTTGGCATACCCAATGAAGTTTAAAATGCACATATTCCAAGAACCAGCTTTTCACAATTAAGTGCATACCCTTGAGAACCTTCTCCACATGTGCAATAATAGACATTTTCAAAAATAGTTATTATAGGATTAATTATAATAGAAAAAAGAACAATTTGTATGTTCTACAAAAGGAGAATGGATAAATTGAAGTATAGTCGCTAAATGGATACAGAAGTTTAAATGAAACAAAAAAGATCTGCGTGCTTCAATATAGAAAAATCTCAGAAACAATGTCAAACGAGTAAAATCAAGGAGTGTAGGAATGCAACCAGAATTATACTGGATATATCAAGTTTAAAGAAGCAAATGATACTGCTTATGGCTAGATAACATTCATATGTAAGTAGTAAACATAAAAAACACTTCTGGAAAAGTTAAGCACCAAATTCAAATAAATTTTCCTCAAGAAAAAAGAGAATGAGGATATAGGGAGCTACTATTGTTTTAATAATATTTTATTTTCTTAAAAAACATATCTAAACCCAATGTTATATTTATATCACATTGCATATATTTGTAGGAACTAGTATATTTAAATGTTAATAGTTGACAAAGTTGGGCATTGGATTACAATTTAAATATATTACTCAATACAGTTCTGTGTGCTTCAGATATTTCACAATAAAGCGTAAATTAAGGATCTAAATCTCACAGAACAAATTACTCAATAATAAATTCAAAAGAGAGAGGGCAAGAGAGAATAGCATATAGAAATGCTAGATATTCAGCCATCATAATAGATGCAGCCTTCCACTTCCAGTTACTCTTTCATTATGTACTTTCCTGGACAGCTAGGACCTTGGTTGGCCTCAGGGACCCTAGGATAATGTCTAGTTTTCCAAAGCAACACCTTATTGTTATAGAAATGCCTAAGGCATCTGAGATATGGAACTAAATGCTTAATGTGCCAAAAAGACTCCAAACAGCTGAGTTGGCCTTTCTTGTATTGAACACTGTTCAAGGTTGATATCTGAAATACAGAGTTTCTTCTTTCTGGCTTACATATCAAAATTAAAAACCGACTTATGCTTTTTAGGTAACTGAAGAAGGAAGAGAAATATTTATAACTTGCAAAATGTCTTGAAATGATCCCACAAATCATTATTTTCTGTAGGAAAG